GGTGCACCACGTGAAGGTAAGTCTATCGCACACCCCGTTTATTCCGGAGTAACAACTAGTCTTAATTGAAAGTAGTTCAATTTTAGCAGCAGAATCTGGTAGTATAGGAAAGACGTCTGTGTGGTAGTCATTTATGATAAATTTCTAGGACTTTATACTAATACGGTTCAAGAAATCAATAAACAGCTGTAGTGTCATTTAACTGCCCAGGAGATTTGACAATAGTGAACTTATATCCCAGCTGCCATGGTAAGTGGCTATAAGGAAAGAAAATTATGCGGGACGAAAATAACGTGACCTTGTCATCAAGTTTCATAAGTTATCTAAATCATCGATACCTATTGAAGCAGTGTTAATTTATTAATGCCAAGCATAATGAAAGCCTGTGCAAAACCAATGACTCAAACATAACATTTGATTCTTATTAATATCTTTATTCAAAAAGAAAAGAATCAAATTAATCTAATCTATTAAGACGGAGTTGGGGTATAGCGTATGTTCACCCTAATTAGAGAGTTTTATATTACTTAATTTTGGATAGGATTTATATAGTACTTTTCGATGTAAGGATGGAAAAAAACATTAACAGGTTTTTATAGGCATACATTAATCTTATAAATACCATTGCTAATGGAAAATCTACTATTTCTCGCATTAGTTACTAGACTGAAATAAATATCATTTGCCGAAGCATAATTAATAAATTCCAAGTTGTCTCGGAATGGTTGTATTGTCTGGTTACCAATCGCCAAAAATAGATTTTTCTGCCTTAAACAGTCTGGAAAGTTTATTATTTTCTCAGCATCTATTATGGATAGTCACTTATTCCAGGTACTGGAATTTAATCTCTGAAAATGTCAAACCAGGGCCATTATTGCACACAGTTAGAAATTAAATTATAAAGTTTTGGCACCTTAAAACGTGGTTCTACAGAATATTTCCAGGAGCACGCAATGTGTAAACATCAATAGCCCCACTTTCCTTGAGTTCAAGAGGGATAAGATGATCCACTTTCTTATTTGGTGTGTAGTTGAAAACGTCATAAACTGATATTCCAATGTTTAAGCTCATGACTGAATATGTAAGTTTATGAATCTCTCCATATCTACTAACATGCTGAGTTTATAGATAATCTGATCAAGTTGAGTAGTTGATCTTGTCACGCATTTTTATTTTCTTTCTTTGTTTACTCATTTTTTTGGCTTTCTCTTTTAGGCGAGAACGGCACAGTGTCATACAGTATAATCTCCACGGATGAGAATTTCATAATCAATAATAAGACTGGAGAAGTGAGCAACACTAGACAACTCGACTATGAAAGACATACGATGCACAACTTCACAGTCCTTGCCATTGATGGTGGTCGGCTGCCTTTGACTGGCACTGTCGCTGTTACAGTCTTTGTTGATGATGTAAATGATAATGCTCCGGTTGTTACTTCTGGCCAACTATTGACAGTGCTTGAAAATCATTCAGCAAGTACGATTTTTTTGTAAACTTATTCTTTTATTTACCTTGGGAGACTAGCTATGCCATAATTTTCATCTTTGAAGTTTGCAGCCTTGAACCATAACCAATTAAGATACGCTTTGGAGAGGTTGTTAAAATACTTATTAAAGTACCGTAATTCGTGAAATACAATATTTTTTTGATCTTTCATAGATCGACCCATTGAAATCACTTAATTTCTACGTTGGTAGGCTATTCTTTTTCAAATAAAAATTTGAAAAATACTAATTTGCTAAGAAATTCTTATTGAGCGTCGATGATATCGTCCGCACAACCAATGTTGTTCTTTGTTTCCAAACAAGGTTACTATGAGAAATGCTAAATGAAGTTGCGGCAGATGTCTTTAATAATAATTACGCGAATGGGATTACGAGAAAACAATTTAAGCCGTAGATTAATGAGAACATTGCGATGCTTATATTTATTGAGTCCTACGCGCCTCCCTTACCAGTGTACTAGAAGCTGAAAGCCTCGAATCATGTTGTCCTTTTCAAATCTTCAAAAGTTTCTATTTTATTGCTACAATTTTCTATGCAAAGAAATAAAACTGATTTAAAACTGTGTTTAGAGATCGAATAGCCCTTCGGAAACGACAATACCACGTAGGAGGATGTGGATGCTGGTTTTTTAACTTGGAAAATGTTTATCAAAAGTTGGACTTCTATACCTAGCCTAGATCGTAAAGATCGGAGATTAAGGAATAATGTTACAAATCCTATTTTTAGCCAAGCCTATGATGAGCAATCTATGGTGCATCACAAGTAAGCCAATCGAGACTTGGTACAATCACTTCATTTGCCCCAATACCAGGAACTAATAAATTAAAACAATTAGAATAATAATTTTTGGTGTACTATCGTCAGTATCAGCAACTTCTGTTTTATCCGAAATTTAATGTTTTAAAGTCGAGCCTTTTATAAAGATGACCTTCTCACATAATAATTGTTAATTAGAACCTGTCTTAATTTGGTATTTACTTCAAATATTGTTAATGCACTTTTAAGTGAATACAAGCATTTAATAATCGACGTTAACGTCATTTTGCGTTGAAAACGTAATGATTTTATTATGTTTAATGATGTTGTCCTTTCTTTTCCCATCACAATATTATTATTATTATTTCAAATGGCAGGCTTTGAGATATTCATCATTAGCCCTTAAACTTTGATTTCAGCTTGCCCCAAGGGTGGGGGTACATTTATAGCAGTTAATAGCAGTTCATTAGCCGTCTTCTTGCTTCCCAGTATCTCTGGCTGTCCGTCGTTGTCTTTAGGGCTGGACACCGAGTCAGGTGGGTCTTCTCCATTTCCTCCTGTAGGTTACATAGGGGGCATGTGGGTTGAGTGTATACTCCCAATCTGTGAAGGTGTTTTGCCAAGCAATCGTGTCCGGTATGTAATCTAAACTCAGCAACGGTTTCGATTCTTGGCAAGTCGGCTATGTCGAAGAGTGCCACTGTCCACTGTTTCTCATTTGTTCGAGCTTTAAGTTCGTTGCACCTTGAGGTCTGAAATTCTCGTCTGATTAAGGCCTTCATTGTATGGAAAGACATCGGCCGGTCCATGTATTGCAAAATCGTTGTCCCCTTCTTAGCAAGTGTGTCAGCAAGCTCATTGCCTTTAATGCCACAGTGACCAGGAATCCATTGTAGGACCACTGTTTTCCATCCCAATATTAAAACAATTTTAAGTCAGGAAAACTCTTAACTTGTGAGAATAATAAGAATTTTAAGGGCATTTTAGTTTAATGAAATTCACTTTCCTAAATATCTTATAGAAAAGAAATTGTTTTAATTTATGTTCCTCATTGATTTACTTTCGATAGCCTAATATATTGAAAAATCTTTGGACGATTTTACCACGAAATAACCTTTATTTTAGCTCTTCCTGTAGGTACACTGTCAGCTGTAGATGCAGACTCTGGATTAAATGGAAACTTCTACTTCAAAATCGCCTCAATAAAGCCGTGTTTTTGTGGAATGTCAGAAAGTGGGGAAAAATCGTCTGATTTCAATGAGTCCCTGTGTACATGGGCTGTAGAAATGGTCAATAAATGCGATATGGAGAGTGTTGAGCAATCATATAGACTCTGCAGTAGGGCACCACTTGCAGGTGTACCTTCATGGACCTCTAAAGAATATCGAAGGTACGATTATTGTTCTATAATAAGACAAGTGAAAACTTATCATACAGTCAGTTAGGTATAGTAATTTCAACTGAAATATATATATATATATCATAGGAGCTAAAACAATGTGTAAGCCTCCATTAGAATTGAGAACTCTGGAAATTCAAAATTTTACTATAAATTGATTATTCGAGATGATATCAAACATTTCAGTCAATGTTCGTCCAAACGGTTTGGAAGACAAATGATCTCATGGTTTTAACTTAGAGGAGAGGTAATGGCAACCGTTTTAAGTAAGCAGAACTCCTCAAACCGTGTTAGCTCTGAGCCGAGAAAATTAAAAGCTCACAATGATTAAATTTTTTTTGCAATTTAGATAATAGTCGGGTAATAAAAATGTAATAATGCGTTATTATCCAATTCAATCAAAACATCTCTGCCTCCTACACAAAATTATTTAAAGTAACTTAGTTATAATATAAAACTTTCTTCCTGGGGTTAATTGGTATCGATCGTTTTAATTTGATCTGTTGTTTTCTTGTTGGCAGCGATGCTTACTCAAGCGTGAACTCGCCGCCTGAGTTATGTTTAAACCCGAGGTGAGCTAAATTGCAAAAAACAATGGCCAATTCCCATAAGTATTTTGGGTTGCATTTCAGCAAATGTACATAAAATTTTAGTTGAAGCACTCACTTGACGCAGGCTTTCTCAATTGCTTGAATTTCAATTAAAGCAAATGGAATTCAATAGAAAATGGGGAATCATTTAAGTTAAAAAAATACTTATAGGATTTGCAAACGAACATCTAATATTCAAGTTAAGCCACATGGAATGTCTTTTACTACGCGCAGAATTTATACCAGCTGCATAAAATGCATTTTAACGTCAAGTTTCCTTGTTCTTTGTGCTTGCCAAAGAAACTTGATATACTATTTGAAAAAAATCCCACACAAAATGTCAAGGGAAGCCTTTTCACACTAAAATGAAATCCCTAAAAGAATCGTGTTTGGCCTTCACATGGTGCCTTCATAGAACCTCGATAAAATTTCATTTCATTTCCTACCTTTAACTGTTTCACAAATAGAGTTAATTTTAAAATGTTTGCCAAAGACAAGATATCCTAAAATCAACCATTCTTTTCAGTACACCTATTATTGTTGCCTAAATAAAGCTAATGCTTTTGAATTTGTTGACCTCTGATGTATTAAACATGTAACTGGCTACTGAAACACAGAAGCTGAAGCAAACGATCAGAATACCTATTTCTTTACCTTAGCATTGCAAAGAAAGAGAGAAGACTTACTATTCTAATTAGGGAGGTATTTTGGCGAGGAAAGGAATTTTTTTATCGCCCCAAAAGCTTCCGATTGCGGTGATAACTACACCATTTGTGGAACCAAATATTTTGATGAGAACGCAGAAATCAAATTGTCTATAGTTAAGTTTAAGCGAAATGAAGACTGAGAGCTACCCTCAGATGAGCCAAGACATTCCATTCAGTTACATAATGCCACCATTTCTCCTTTACTTATCACAGATTTCTGATGACGGAACGTGGTGATGTCTACTTGCGCTATCCCAGTCTCGATAGAGAAACTGTCCCAGTCTACCTCGTTCAAGGTGTAGTTACAGATCGTGGACAGCCACCCATGAAAACTCCCTTCTGCATTACAGTAGTTGTCAATGACGTCAATGACTGCCATCCGAAATTCACATTCCCAGCTCTAACAAACAATACAGTATTTGTCAGACTGTAAGTGTTAAAAGAAAGGCTAGTTAATTAATCATGATACTAACGCATAAAATTAGAAATAAGAATGAAATCACGTTTCTTCAACGCACTTTGCATAAATGGAAACAAAATGCAAAATAAAATTTGCCTATTCCTAACAAAATGGAGTGGAAGCGAATTCCCTATCGATTTTTCACTTGCACTAGAATTTGGAAAAAAGTATTCACAAGTTATTATTGGGTGAAAGAGCAACGTGTGCGTCCTCGTATCGATTTTCAATTAGTCACATCTGCTTCGTGATTCCTATGAAATCAATTTCTCACTTGCAGTACATACGGCTTTATGAATTCTTATGTTCTAAACGAATCTCAAAATAAGATTTAATTGAATCTCCTTCGTATGAAATCATATTCTCCAGTTGTATTTAATACGCTTCCTAGATTTGATTCATATCACTCCTATAGACCAATGGAAAAGTTAACTGACAAGATCAGTGATAAATTTTAAATTATTATTAGTTTTGAATATGAATGGGTCTATGAATAGACCTTCAGTTTAAACTGTCTCGCATTTAATTACGTTTACTTAGTAGATGTCGAATAATTTCTGTTTCCCATAAATGAGTTGGTCAATAGAATCACCTAAAAATGTATCTGCCAAGTTTCCTTTGACATTGAGGGCTTTAAACAAAAGCTAATCTGTGAAAATGCGGAAGTCATTTCAATATTTTGGTCTCTTACCGATGATGATGGTAACCTTAGGGTACACACCTTAAGATTTATGATTGATTTCACATTCACAAACCTAACTTGAAATAAATAGGTTTTTTGTTAATTATCCTTTTACCTGCAAAATAGAACGCTTTGCTAACTCTAAATATGAGTGAATAGGATAAATGTAAGAAAATATGAAAGCGGTTTAAAATAAGCCTATGGACCTTAATGGCACATTTCATATAAACAAATTTGCATTCATGTTCTTGAATACATTTTCGTCGATTAGTCGTGTTTAGAATTGGAGAAAGTAAGTTTACCGTATCAACTTGGAAAAATCGATTATTTAGTGCAAAACTATTCCTAAATTTGTACTTTGTTACTTTCTTCTCTTAAATGGAGAGTTCGTTTAGCAAGGTCATCCAAGTTGTCTAATGAAGGCATGAGCATGTATTTTAAGACATTTAAACCGACATTTTGTGGAAATTAGGATGTGCAGAACATGCTTTGAGCAATTAATTTAAAATTTATTATGGAATGTCTAAAGGATAAGAACTTTATACATAGAAGGATTATTGTAAATACAATGAACGCCAGTCCGTCAGAGATAGATTCAATGGAGCAAATATTCATTAACACAGATTATAAGTAGTAAAAAATTAACCCGAATAGAAGAAATTGGGTGTGACATTTTATGCTAAAGTTCTCGAGGTCTTTTTAAATTCAACACCTTCTGAGACACAGAGATGCAGCAATTGAAAAAAACTTCGAAACACGAGAACTTCTGAGTTATTGAGTAAAATAAATCTCTCAATTACGGACCAACAGGTGATGATGAATTTATATTGTCGTTTAATTTGGCCACATAACTCACTAATATAAACAAACCATGTATCTTTAGCAGTAATCTGTGTGGTAAATATTACTAAGGTTGGGCTTTAGGTCTTTAGCATTTATTCAAAACAAAAATAACTATCCATGACAAAAAACTATTGTAAACACGTTCTAACTCGTATGCTCACATAGGTACGTCAAGGTTTAAGGAAAATTAGCGGCGGAAGTGGCCAATTATCATTCGGCTTGGGTTGATACAAAGACGGAAGGAGAGACGTGGAAATTGAGCCACTATCCACCACAAACAACAAAGGGCGTTCCCAGACTCAAGACTTCCAATTTCGGTTTTGAAAATAGCATGGGAAAAGTTTTTTGAAATAATAGAATGACTTTATTACCTTTTCACATAGCCATCTCACCGCAGTTCAATCTCTTCGTCTTCCTTTCCAGCTACTGATTCTTAGAAAAAATAATTTAGTAGTCTTCAATTGAGCTGATTGAATAGCGGACTTATATTTTATTCCAGATGACTGGTTGGTAAATGGACTGTTTCATAGAATTTTCAGGTATTTGTACTTGTGGAAATTTTCAAATACCTTAAAGGACTTCGCTTCGTAGAACATCGTCTTTTATGCTGGAATATTTAAAGAGATTAAGGACTTAAGGTCAATAAATTATGAAAAGTTATGAAGTTGAATGAAACTAATGATTCGATCAATCTTAACGTGTGTCCTCTCTTATAACGAGATTTAGGATGCGAAGCAATTAATCCAAGGTTGTGTCCATTTGAAGATATATGTTCATCACATGTTATGTTTGAAGAGTGCTATCCAAATGTGCTTTCAAATGACTTTTCAATTCGCTGTCATTCAGTTGCAATTCATCGCCTACCATTGGCGTCTATTGTAGCCTCGGTATGGCCACAGTTACGCCTCTAGCAAAACAGGATCAAGCGAATTTCGCAAGATGTATGCTTTTGAGGCAGTGATGGTTTTCGTTTCAGTGCAGGCTTTTGGGGTGAGGATGAAATATCCAGTTAACTGTGATGCTAAGGCTTCAACTTCGTTGCCAAGGTTCTCTGACACCATTCCACTATGCAAGGACAATCAGATCAAATCACCTGTTGTGTTGCTTTCCTCTAGCCATGGGAGCTTTGCAGTTCCTGTGGGATTCTTCCCACCGCGCTTTGAGAAGCGACTATAAGCTCTTTTTTAATTCTTGTGATCAGTAGGAATCGTCAGGATACTAGCTTTCCTCTGTCTTGACTCGGGTGCTTTTCAGTAATCATCCACTGGCTTTTGAAAGGGATGCTGTGAAAAGTACTCCTTTTAACACACCCGGAAATAATAGAAGTATTCTGTAAAATGCATGTTTTAATACAAATCAAGAAGTTATTACCCGGGTTTATATTACAGAGCATGGACCTGCTCAGTTTTAGCTATGATCTTATTCTCACAGATTGGAAGGTGCCTAATCCAGACTCTCCTGCTCATCTAACAACTCCTAGAAATGTTAGACAGGTATAAAAGTTGCACTTTTGATTATCTCATTTAATGCACCACAGGGATGTGTCTGACCGTATCCACAATTAAGAATACTTTCGCTGGAAATACAACTTTTAGGTCAGAGAGAAAACTTGTGGAGGGGGGGGGGTAGGGTTTGAAATATGCAAGTTAATAAGCTGAAAGATTTTGCTAAATTTTCGATTAGATTAATGATAAGATTTATTTATATATCAAATGGCGAGCGTTTTGATGGCTATCATTAGCCCTTTATTGACTTCAGGTTTCACAAAGGAGGAGGAACATCAAAGTGAAAAAAGTCGAGAGAGGGGAGGGGGAGGAACAAAAGAGTTTCAAAAACGAAGTTAGAAAAGGTAGGAAAAAGGTGAGGTGAGTACTGTGAAAGATGTCGAATATGACATACAGTGGGGTGATGGTAGTTTGAAGTCAGAAGCCAACTGCCAGTTAATAGACTTTTTGCCGTATGAGTATACGTTGCCCAGGGTACATCACGTGGAGGTAAGTCTATCGCACACCCCATTAATGATAAGATAATAGCGTATATAGAGGAACGAAAATCAAATAGTCCATTGAGACCAAAAAACTAAAGGACTCTATTTAAAATGTCTTTCCTGTTCTCATAAATCTTATCCAACTAATAAGGACATGCCTTCTATGATGGATAAGTTTGAGATTCCGAAAAGAGACAATTTAGTTCATGAGTTAACGTACCATTTGTCCAATATATGAAAAATCTTAGAAATTAAAATTTCGGCCAATAAAATTACGACGGCTTTACCACTATCGAATTATTACAATTTAGCGTCCAATGCTGCTATGGCTGACAGGTTCACTAAAACTTGTACTGAAAATAAATCTCCACATTGACATAATCAGAAATCAAAGATCCTGTAACTTAAAACACCGCACTTTGATCAAAAATAAATCTGCTGGTAGTTATCATGCTGCCTGGGAACGTAGTAATTAGCTCATAAGCCAATAGTAACAGCGGTGAGGAGGTCACAGTTATTTTGGGAAATGAGATCATAACATCCCAGAAAAAAAATAAATCTTCCCTTATTTGCATATTTTTATGAAGTTGTAACGAACGCAAGAAACAGAGAGATTGGTAGTGCTTAGAGGTCATCATTCAGAAGCTAGGCATCGCGTATCACACTCCAGACCCTAGAATGGAGATGCAATAATTGACAATCCTGTGGAGTGCAGATGTAGCTTATTAAATCATTTACCGCCGTACTTTCTTCAGTAAGTGAAGGTCAAACTTTTTTCCTCCATATAGATCCTTGGCGTGGAAGGTCTAAAAGTTGCCTCTAACAGCTGAAGCAATTAATTTTGTTTTTTTTCAAGGCCAATTCATCGTGGTGAACCTCTTGTACAGTTGCATGCCACAGACTATGATATCTACGAAAATGGCGAATTGAGATTCGGCTTCGCAGAGGAAATGGAGGATACAGTAGCTAATCTATTCGCCATTCATCCACAAAGCGGTCTCATGGTTTCGAAATATAGCCTACAACTGAAGGATTTGGAATATCTGGCCTCTTCAAACTCCGTTTTAAAACAATCTTATATGGTAAAAATTAAGGTAAATTAAACGTACAAATGAACTCCTCAATTTACTGTAATTCGCATTTATCCTAAGTTCACAAATTTATTTGCATAAAATTCGACAAACCTATTCAAAGATCAAATTAGCCCAAATTCGATTGATGGCCGTAATTTAAGTCTCCACTTTTCCGTTTTCATCTAGTTTTTTTAATTAAAAACGAAATATAACTTCTCTAGTTTCAACTTTATAATCATCAAATTTTAAGTAGAAATTAACGCTTACTGCAATTTAATTGGTGCGAATACGATTACGTATACAAACATTTCAAAGGTTACTGAGGTAGAATTATTAAGTATACACTGATATACTCTATTTAAATGACCTCTACCAGTTACAGGGTTTTACAATATTATGATAGATGAAAGGCAAGGTGTAGCATATATATTCACCATGTAAAACTGATAGATGAAGTTTGAAAAACACGAATAAGCCAATCATTTCTCTGTGGTCCTCTTAGAGATTTTTTTCAAATCACAGGCTTTATGATATTTATCATTAGCCCTTAAATTTTGACTTCAGCTTCCCCCATGCGTGGGGGGTACATGTATAGCAGTTAATTAACAGCAGTTCATTACACCCATGCGTGGGGGGTACATGTATAGCAGTTAATTAACAGCAGTTCATTAGCTGTCTTCTTGCTTC